GATCAGTTCGTTGCGCATGTGAGCTATCGTTTCCTTGATCAATGTCTTGACGATGATTTTTGGCACCATGTTCAGCATGTTGTTGGTGACGATCTTCATGTATGAGTCCAGCAAAAGCCATATCACCTCCACCTGGCGCTCTAAATGAGGGTCGCCGGTATCGTACGGCCGGTCGATACGAATTTTTTCACCGTTTACCTCGAAAATGCCGACATCGATCATCTTCTGCTTCCAGCTGGTAGCCTCGTCGATCGAACTGGCACAAAGTTCGATATGGGATGAGTCCTTAAAAATGTTCTTGCCCTGAGAATGAAAAATAATAACCCTGTTCGCTCGTCGGCTATCCTTCAGCTTCAAGTATTCGTCGATCGGCAAAACATACCGGCGATCGGCCTTCGTTTCGTTCAAGTACCAAACAATGTTGTTCGGGGTTAACTCGAACCAGTAGCGTCGGTCCAACGTCAACACACCTGTCGAAAGCGTCAAGTAGCCCTCCTTGACCACCTCGGACCCGACCTGGCGACGCCGGAAAAGAACATTTATCTCCGCTGCGTGAAATCCCACAAAGTCGTCATGATTCGAATTGATGTACGCCAGTTCATAATCGAAAAGCTGGTTCAGTTCTTGTCTGGTCTGGTCTGCCTGTCGCGTGAGATGACCACTGACCTCCGATTCAACTACCTCGCGCAGGCGCGGAAACTCGTTAAACACCTAAAGCACGATTTTGTCTAAAACACATAAGGATGAACAATGATCGAAGGTCGATGACGAGAGATAAACATAAGTGCTGACTAGAACCTTAAAGTATGCGGGGTTCAAGACACCACCCGAAACCGCAACCTGCCTCAGGAGAGTGGCTTCCTTACATACAATGCTGCATTACAGTATCATGGCAGTAACCAGACAACAGTCATCAACTGATATTTCAACGCTAATGGAAAACAAAGCTCACTGCGTTTCAGGAGCCAAGTCCCATATATGTACTGAAGTCCGGCACTTGATGTTTTTCATTTTCATATGCTCAGGGCTAAGCTATAAGGAAACATTTTATTCTGCAGCTTTTTGGATCGCTTGCAGACGCAAAAACCGGATAGCTGTGCAAATCTCGCTCTCAAACGCCTTCAGCAGAACCTCAAATGAGCGACACTGTCAATACGTTGGACTAGATGAAAGCTGGAATTACAGTAGTAATAGTTCAATAAGTTTGACGCCTCGACCAGACTGAAAAATAGGTACTCGCCAAAATCGCTAAAGAAGAGAGGATAAGAAGACGGATATAAGGAAAAAATAAGAGGATAAGATAGGATATAAGGATAAGACAAGAGCATCGAGTCGTTGCAGTCGGCATAGACTCGACTGGGGTCTACTCCGATGAAGAAATCTTTCCTCAATAAATATATATCACTGCTCGTAATTTATTCACTTCAATTTACAGACTGCTGAGTTTCTATTCTCCTCTGAGGAATGTCAAACAGTTCGCACCATTGGCTTGTCTGCCTACCTTAGATCATACCATTCATTCAGGATTAAACATGCGGCGCAGATCGCGGCTTTGGTGTTATTTTTCACAGGAATCTTATTTTGATGAATACTTTGAAGGGCTAGAAGGCTTGTACAGGGCGTAGTCGCATACTTCCTTACCCACTTACTGCGATTTATTAGTCTGCCGTGTAAAGGATTACTGGCATACAAGGATCTGTCAGCGGTTGTGACTATTTTCACAGCAGCCTGCCAACAGTACCGCAGTTTAAGACAGTACTTAACAAATATAGTGTCCAAAGGGACTTCACTTCGTTCAACTTTGACCTGGCGCTCGATCTTGCATTTCATTAGGTAAAGGATGAGCTAAACCGATGCATTATCCCAAGAAATACATTTTTACTAGAAAGATTGTCTGCTCATCCATGTCCGCGATTAAAACTCAGATCGAAAAAAATGTTATACACTGTGAAGTTCACAACTATTATTATTTCATATCTGTTTTGTTAGCTTCTTAAAAACATGATATTTATTCAGTGCCAATAGGAACAATAGAAAGCCTATTATAGTGGCAAGGTAAAACAGAAATGTTAAAAGGATAGGATAAACGGTCATTAACGAGTCCCTGTAAGTTTTGCTGAACAGAGGAAGGGATCATGTGAACATGCAGTTAGTTTCAAATTTTTCTTTTATCCTCGGCTTCCCTAGTTTCAACCACGTTATTTTTGGCAATCACTTCCTTTCACCCGTAACGCACATGTAGACCATGGCTCCATAAGTACCGGTTCTCTGAGCAACTATTGAGGAAATCGATAAATCACAACTTCGTAAATCGATGGATAGATTTGTCGCCTTGGCTTTCTCTAAAGTATTAAGTTTCTTTCCCTATTTAATGCCATAGAGAACGACGCTAGGCAATCGATATGAACAGAGGTGAGAATGGTTCAAATGTTAACAAGGAAACTTATTGTTTACAAGTAGAACCGCGGCCATCATCAGGGCGGTTCTAGTTTTCGAGAATTAAGGAGGGATACAGAAGAAGGTTAAAAATTAACAAGAATGAATTATGCGAGGTTCATATATTAAGGCAAACGTAACAGTGCCTATCACTAAGACTAAATATTTAACCAAAAGCAACAAAGTTAATCCTTACTTATGATAGCTGACGACCTGAGGTACAAAACGGAATAGTTTGAACAACGTTTCTCAAAGCAACGATCCCTGCTTGATCATTTACGTGGCGCGAAAGACAAAAAGATGTTTCCGACGTGTCTGTTGCTGTTCCTAACGTCAACGAACAGGCATCTTCTGAATATTACCTATTCCGTCTACATATAATATTACACACCGAAAAGGTCTGCATTCCTTCTTCAACAGGTAAACAGCATGAATGAAGTTCCTCACCATGCATTTTGTTGGAATTCATACTTCCAGTGGTTCTGAGTCACCTCGTCTGCGATATTATTCAGTGTTTCGTCTGGATTCACCAGAACGGTTCTAAAGCCACCGTTCGTTTGATCATTGTCGCATCATTAGGTGACATTTCAGTGTTCACGACGATTCATTACTTCCGTTAAAAGCGATTTGACGAATCACCCATTATTACCAGCGTAGTTGTGCCAACTGCCAATGATAGAGCCGTATCTGGCTACCACCGCGTACCACAGTTTGGTCGACACGGGTCAGCGATCAAAGGACGACGGACTTAACAATAATAAGTGAATTGGTCCTCATAATTTAGGAGCAGGTAAGGGGTTGCTTGACCTGCAGGATTGATGATGCTTGTAGTGGTCAGGTTACAGTAGATCACGCAGTGACGATGTAAGTATCTTCTAGTCCCTCGGCGTAAGCCGGTATCATTTCTATGCAACAGATATCAAAATCGTGCTACTTCATGTTCATATCAAACAGACAGTGTTTATTGGCACTGTTGCCCATGGCCTGACAAATGTGCCCGGTGACAACGACTAGGACGCTTTCTGGGATTGGTTGCAGTCGGCTGTTAGTATTTTTTCCGTCATGGAGTCACAATTGTCAACCAACAGGCGACCTCACCGGAAAAGTGGTCGCCGAGTACTTACAAAACATAGCATGGCCTGGTATACTTCGCCATCACGGTATTTTCAGTGCAAGTGACAACGGCAGGAGTGTGTTAAGTTTTGGCACGACAACTTTATCGTCAGCGGGCCCTTTTACCTCGTAAGCGCATTCACCAAACCATTTGGAAGCCTCCTGGTGAAAGTCTAAACACTCGGCTTGACCACTTTATCATCAACTACAAGAGGCGCTGATCTTAACTCGAGACTCGCATCAGGCTTTATCCCTGCGTTGGACCTCATCACCATATGGTCGTGGCAGAACTTCGTCTAAAATAAGCCGCATCGCAGAGACGCCGTTCGGCTGAAACACATCAGCTGCTCGATCTTAACCGGTTAATACAGATGAAGCAGAGCAGTCGGCATATCAAAAGGAGGCAGACGGTTATTTTAATGCCAATATTAACGGCCTGTCGAGAAGTGGTATCACTGATGAAGCTTATAAAGACTTCAGAGAGGCCGTCCTTTATTCGGCGAAAGACGTGGCTTGGGTCAGGAAGCGAAGATCCAAGCTACCCTGAGATAATGAGAAGGCCTAAGCCTTTGGATTGCATAGAAATATGTTTAAAAAGGAGTACCGGTAACTCCCTACTTCACTCTCGAAGGTAGTTAATCGCTGACTCAGGCTGACGCTATAGAAAACAGAAATGGACAAACTGCTGAAACATGATGGACTTCTACCCGTCGATGGAACTCCATCATTTCACCGCATGCCATTCGAACAGTCATCCGTCTGTCGTACTCGACTTTCGTACGCCTGACATATTTTTTGGCACCAGATTCTTTCTCATGCTCCACCAAAGTGCTTGCCTCGGGATTCGATCAAAAGCTTTCTCCAGATCTAGGAACACCATGTGAATGTCCTTTCTGTGTTCTCTGTATGTTTCGAGCTCTGATCTTAAAGCAAAACTGGAATCAGCGGTTGACCGGCCTGGCATAAAGCCAAATTGGTTCACGGTGATATCGACCTTCTTCATCGGTCTTTTGTCCAGCACCTTCTCTTTGTACAGCTTTATGAAGTGACTAAACAGCTTAATTCGTCGGTAATTTTCACAGACGAACATGTCCCCTTTAATGTTGTGAATTGGCGTCAAAATACTCTGCCTCCATGATTCTGGATTGTCTTACATTTCATAATTCTGTTGAACAGCGCGTAGAGCCAAGTCGGTCACGCCTTCTTGACCCAGCGCCATCCATGCTTCTACGGAAACTCCGTCCGGCCGCAAGGCCTTTTTATTTTTCATTCTAATCAAAGCTTGTTCTACTTCCTCCTTTGAGATCTTTTCGATTAGGCCCTGGTTTTGTAGCAACTTTTGTACGGCCTCTCTGGGATGTTCTTCGTTTAGTAGCGTTTGGAAATACCCTTGCCATCGATTGCGAATATTTTTCTCGTCTGTCAGAACCAATCCATTTTCGTCTTTTATGCATTTCACATTATCGATGCCTCTTGTTTTTCTTTGTCACATTTTTACTACGCGACAAATGTCTTTTCCCCCTAACTTCGTTACCGGTTTCTAACATAAGCTGTTACAAGCTGTACACCTTGCATCCGGGACGACTTTCTTTGCCTCTCTTTCGGATATGACATTCGCGCTGCTTGACAGCTGCCATTTCATGAACCGCATTTTCTTGCGTTGTAGGGTAGCCTGAACATCCGCCTTCTACTACCACGTTTCTTCCTGGATACGTGTTGTGTCCTTTGTTTCTCTGACTAAGCCAGAGGCCTCTGGCATTCCCTGTCATCATGCTGGCCGTCCGCTCCCACACTTCATCCGCTTTCCTGTTCCAGGCTTCCTTCGTCATTTTTCTCGTAACTTCCATTCTGAACGCTTCTTTCAGCTTCAAGTTTAAAGTTTAGAGGCTGTCGTCGTTCTTACCATCTGAATGGGCTGTTTCAATGTGAAAGATCAATGACCAGTAGCTGGCGCTCGCTTCTGATAGCTTCACCATGGTTAACCTCGCAATCTCTGACGTTCTTCAGTTCGTTCCTTCAGAGCAGGAATTGGTCGATCTGGCTTTTCATCCTTCCGCTCTTGTAAGTTAGCAGGTGTTCTTCTCCTTTCTGGAAGAACGTGTTTATCGGATCCAGGTCACATGCAACTGGCACCTGCAAGACATTCTTTTCTTCCATATTTAACACAATATATTCATGTCCGCCATGAATCCTGTCGTAACCCTTCGATGTTTCCGGATACCACTAAGGTAACCCGTGGTTACCACTTTTTCGATTTGCAGTGCAATGTCTAGGCTCTCCCAGAATATGGACTTTTCGGTTTCATTCTCGCCAGTCTCGGGGGGGAGGCGTAGGCACTTATTATATTTAAGATATCAGTTTCTAAAGTCAGCCCATGATTCTGTCGTAAATTCTGTTGACTTCGAATACCCTGTTTTTGCCGCTTCATTCAATACCACTCCAACTCCGTTTCTCCTGCTTCATGTTCCATAGTAAATGAGTTTATAACTTAGCCATGCATCTTGTCACTTCTCACCCCTGCATACAGTTCTTTCATATCTCTCGCCTCTCCTGAATGCAAGCGATCGGACATTTTCTTCTTTAAAAAGCATTCGCTAGCTCCACGCCTCTTTCCGGCATTGATCCAATGTTCCAAGTGGCTATTCGCAGTATGTCGCTTCGTTTTTGGCATGTCAGTCTCTTCATCTGCGATTGCCGTGGTCGCAAGAACTGGTTGCCTTGCTCATTTTTCACAGTCG